CTCGGCCGCACACATCGCACAAAACAATTGCGAAACTGAACGAACTGGAATATGAAGTTTTGCAGCATCCACCATATTCACCGGATCTCTCGCCGACCGATTTTCATTTTTTCAAGCATTTAGAGCTGTTTTTAAGAGGCAAACACCATGAAAATGAAGACAGTCTAAAAAACTCGATATCAGAGTTTATTAATTCTAAAGACCAAAATTTTTTTAAGACAGGCATCTACGCTTTAAAATCTCGTTGGGAGAAGTGTATTGAAGCGAATGGAGCATACTTTGATTGAATAAACAGCTTTTGAAGAAAGATATACAGTTTTATACAATCACTTAAGAATCCGACATTTCATATGCACCAACCTAATATAACTGAGCGCCTAAAGGCGCTGTTCGCCGCGAAAGGGTTAATATACAAGGTGGAAATCCGGAAACGGCCGAAAATTTCAAAAATAATGCCTTTTCGAAAAACAAGTTTCATACAAAAGCTGTAGGGTTTTAAGTGACGCACTGCATAATAGTATTAGTGCAACTTTAAATAGCGTTGTCAAGGGCACGTGAAGGTCACTTCTAATTTCTTAAATAGAAATCTCTATTTTTCATCGCATATTCTTCTAGCTTATAGTTTTCAGCTTGAAAGCCAATTCAAAAGACTATAACAAAATATTTTTTCGCAAAGTATTTTTCGAGTTATAAAGCTTTACGGTACTGTCGGAATTAGCGTTATATAAGATGTACCATGTGGAGGTTGCGCGGTCGAATTTATATCTCATATATACATATATATATATACAATGTGGATATCAATATCAAAATATATATATTGGTATTGATATCCATATTGTACATAAAACACGATAATGTGCAATTCGGAAAGGCGGAAATATACAATGATGGGAGAGAGAAGCTTCCGTGAATTTGTCAATGAAATCGTCAATGAATCGAAAGTTCCTGTTTTCTTTTCGGAATCTTTTTGGCTACTTCGATGCATGAGTTAATGTTTCTCCCTTTTTTATGCTCTCGACATACTTCGTATGAACTCTCTCACGGTTTGTTTCTCATTGTTTCCCTCTTTATGCCTTTCGATATATCTCTGTATTTCTCTCTCCTGCCTCAGCATGTCTTCAGTCGATGCTTTCTGCACATATAAACTATCGTTTAAAATAATTATGTGTATATATATATATATATATGTGTGTGTGTGTGCGCGTGGCATCCTTGATGTTTATGATTTCACTACGTCGCACCGCTTTTACGATAGCGCACCTTATCATTATACAAAATGTTCTCTCAGCTCTGTACTAACCAGCGAGATTCTCAGACCGATCTGAAAAATTCACGTCTCTCTTATGAGAAACTCTCTTTTCTCTCGATTCTTTAAGAGTGAAAATCACACGCAGTCTCACGCGAGATTTCAGTTCAGGAGAAATGGGTGTCATATCGCTCGAGGTGCAGCTTACCGCACGCTATGCGCGAACTCGAGCCGACTGACTTGTATGCGAATTGATTGATCATTACCATCAATTATCGCTGGTCATAGCTGGATCATAGACTCTCATATATATAAGTTCTTGTATATCAGGTGTACGAATTCATTGGATGCCTTTTTTTCATGAAATTCAAAGTTTATTTATAAAGAGTCAAATACAAGTTTAATGTTCGAAATAATTTCTATTATTTTCTCTGACTTTATTCCATCTATTAAACAGCTGGTGAATACCTTCGCGAAAAAAACTTGGCGGTTTTTATCCGATAAAGTCACCAATGCTTCTTCGGACCTCGTCAACTGTTTTAAAATGCGTATCCGCCGGATAATGTTAGAGCGACCAAAATAGGTGGTGATCCGACGGGGCTGGCGAATAAGCCATATGAGGGAGAATTTCTCAGCCCAATATACAAATGAAATCCTTTGTCCCTCTCGCGATATGTGGTCGAGTATTATCGTGTAGCAGAATCACTTGCCTACTTCCATTACCGGTAAAAGGTCTTTTTACGAGTTTTGTGGATCACAACACCTTTACCCAAAGCGAAATAAATCATTTCGGTAGACTGAGCAGCATTTTTATTCAACTGGAGTACAAAAAGGATGCGGTGCTTCAGATGCTCCTTTTCGGATGACATCGTAATAATTACTGTTTTTTGAGGTTATGTCGGCAAGGCCGTTAACTGCTGTAATGTTTCTTAAAATTTAAGATTGGCACTTTCAAATCATCATAGGGTAGGGAAAAAATCTTAATTTAAATCAGAGTTACAAGACGTTAAATGTAAAACCGAATTAATTTATACACCTAATAAGAACGCTTCTGTTTCTTTTCGCGGGAAAACGCCATGTACGTAACGATATCGAGTTTAGGAAACGAGACCAACTCCCTCGATAAGACTCAATTTTTGCATCTCTCTCACGAGCGAGAGAACGGCTGAATCCGACCTGTCGGAGTCGTTTTAACTTCGAACTCGCGCGTACGATAACGTGCCTGGAGAAATAGGCTCCACTAAGTCCACAAGCCTCAAGCCCGGAGAGCTAATTAAACGCGTGGTGCTCGCGCGGTCTATTCCGGTATACGTAGCAGCTATTTTCGAACGTTTATCGACTTCTCCGGCACCGGTGTTACTGCCATTCTCGCGCCCATGCCAGCAAGGCTCTGAAGCTATCACGAATAATGATAGTCCTGGAAGCAAGATTCGCTCGTGATTTTCCTACGAGGCGAGTCCTCGAAAAAGATGTCGATGATGACGCTCACTTTAGAGACACTAACTTCAGTACGCGAATGTCGCAATCTTCGCAAAATGAAAGTATTGCGGCTATACTTTCGGTCTTGTGTTTTTGGAAATTGTTTTACATACCCTATAAGCGCGTAATATTATTTAATATTAAGTAATATTTTTGGAATATTAATACATAATTATATGTCTACTCTTAGTAATATTTAAAAAATAATATTATTTAATGTTATTGTAATATTATATATTTTTTAAATATACAACTCTATGTGTATATAATGTATATATAATTGTGATTTTTTATTTCAAACGTATTGCAATCTCACAATTGTTTTATTATATAAATAAAATCGAAAGAATTTTTTGTGTAAAAATACGTTTCATACTAAAAAAAATTATGTGTATGCTTATGTGTGTATATGTATATATAATATATATGTATAATTTATTTATATTTTTTTTCTATATTATTATTTTTTTTTTTAATATTCTAAGAACATTCCTATAATATTAAAAAAATATTACATTAACATTAACATTCATTAACGTTCTTAGAATATTATAAGTATATTACTTAATCTAATAATTAATATTGAATAATATTCATATAATATTTTAGGAATATTACGCGCTTATAGGATGTAGATTCATCAACGTTTATGTTTGTATATGGTATGATATATTCATATGGTATACAGTCGGTCATAGGACGGTTGTAACACATTTTTTCTATAAGTTTCAGGATGCATTCCGTGTCCACTAAAAACATTCGTAAAATTAGCTTTAGTAATTCTTAGGAGACACATTTTCATTATTGGATACGAGATAGTTGCAAAACTCATCAAGAAAAAAGTATTGTAACCGTCCTTCGCGATTAATCGTAAAATTAGCGAGAAGAGAGGTTACAACGTTTTTTCTCGGCGAATTTCGCATCTCATATCCAGTAAGAAAATTCATCTCCTGAAAATTACTAAGAAATATATTATTCCTATTAGACACAGGATACATTCTAAAACTTATGAAAAGAGCGTTGCAAACTTTTAGTTATTGACCACACATATATGTCGCGTGATTATATGTCGCTATCCACATCACCAAGTGGAATTGAGCATTTTCAGCCAATTAATACACAGCTCGTGTTGTTATACAGGGTGGTCAGAAAATCCGGAAATGTTCGAATATTTTCAAAACAATTGTCGAAGAACAAGTTTCATACAAAAGTTGTAGGATTTTAAATGACGCACTACGTAGCAGTATGCACTAAACACTTTGACCTCGAATAGTGTAGTCAAAGTCACTTGAAGGTCACTTTTAATTTTTTAGATAGAAACCCTCATTTTTCATTGCATATTCTTATAGCTTAGCTCAAGAGCTTTTCAAAACATTAACAAAGTATTTTTTTGTTAAGTAATTTTCGAATTATGAGGATGTGCAGTACCGCCATTAGCGTTATCCAGGATGTACCACGTGGAGACTGCGCGGTCGGATTTATATCTCTTTTGTGGCTGTGTATGTGTATATGTGCGCGTGCGCACGCGCGTGTATGTGTGTGTGTCAGCAGAGATAAGGACTCCACGGATTATGAGCCAAATATAAACAAAAATTGCAGTAAACAATTCTAGTTTCTAAACGACTATGTCCTTCGCTATGGTTCACGCGGAGCCAAACTAAAATCGTATGGCGAGAGATTAAAAACGATCCATAAAATATTGGCAATCAGCAAATTCAAGCATGTTCTTGAATATATTTGAAGATTATTTTTGACGTTTATCATCGCAAAAACAAATTTTTAATATAATAAAATCTTATTTCGAGTGAGAACTTTTCTTTAAAAGTATTCCGTCTTTGAAAAGGTTACAAACTATCACGATTTTAATATTTTTAATTATGTTTCTCGTTTTTATATAAGATTCGTCCCTATTTGTAAAAATATGTTGTTAAAATTCAAATTGTGATTAATGTGGAATAATATATTAAATATGTCACAGATCTTCATATAATGTATGCATAAGCGAAGCATGGAAAGAATGCATTTGTGCATAATGAAACGTATGCACGCAAGCTTTTAAACTGAAGGATCTACATGGAATTTGACAGATCGGCGTATGTTAGATCGATTTAATTGCCACTTCGTTAATTTTCCAGCGATCTGGAGAAATATTTCGAGTATCAGGGTCAGGATTACATTTGCTCGCGTCCCGACGACAGCGGGATGCACTCCTGCAGTAATCTACCGCCGCTCAAATTCGGTGAGTGAATTAATCGTTATTTATCGTTTAATCTACTCTTTTCCATGATTTTTAATGAAATATTCGGAGTAATTCAATAGTAACACGTGTGTAACGTGAAACTTCAATTATTTAATATTTAATACATACAACAACCAGACTATTATGAGTAAATTACATTTTTTACCTGGTGTTTCGGAATTCGTTGATTTGATTTTAATGATGACAGATTCTTTAATAAATATGCGCGTACACACATTCGGGTTTTTCCCCATTTTAAATTCTAACATCTCGGGTTCCTTTGCTTTTAATTTTTCCGGGAGAGAGAAGGAGAAAAGAAGGGAGGTAATTTGTTTACACCCGGCTACTGTGATTGAACGTGTATCGACGTGTTTTTGGCACTTAGGAAACTTGGTGTGCAACAGCACTGCTCTGCCGAACAATAACGTCACGTTCGTCAACAATTACACCTGCGTTAATTGGAACTATTACTACACCGAGTGCAAGGGACAGGGCAACAATCCATTTCAAGGGACTATTTCGTTTGATAACATCGGTCTCGCCTGGGTCGCCATATTTCTAGTGAGCCTTTTAATTATTCGTCCTACTTTCGTTCGAGAGTGAATCATTTCTACGCACAGGATGCTTCGTATTAATTAATACAGAAATTAATATCCCGAAAAGTATTTTAGAGATATCAAACAATATTTCAAAATTGTTCGGTTTCGCGGAGAAATAATATTAATATGGTATCTACGTTGCTGCAACTTTGAAGTAACTTTTCCAAGATTATTTGAAAAAGTTAACTTTAATTTCTTAATATAATACAAAAAGAGAAGTACTTCACATGTCAGCATCATTTTAATGCTTCCAGCTCCATATTGTATTTACTTATTAATCTCTTATTTTTTGATCTATCTTTCGTTTCGTTAAAACATCAACGTAATCGTGTCATGACGTAAATGCGTGTCGATTTGCAGGTAATCAGTCTGGAAGGATGGACGGACATAATGTATTACGTGCAGGACGCCCATTCATTCTGGGACTGGATATATTTCGTCCTCCTGATAGTTGTAAGTGTCGTATTTTCTATCCTACGACGCGTAAGTACAATATATACAATATGTAATGAAAGTATAATATATATATTAGGGGGACCGGAAAGTAATGTCGTTTTTTCACATTAAATTCAAACAGATAAATTTTTAACAAGTTTTAATTTTTAATCAATGATGTAATCACCCCCGTTATCAACAACCTTTTGCCATCTAGTGTGCAAATTTTTAATGTCGGATCGATAAAAATCAATTGATTTTTTAGCAAAATATCTGGAGATGGCAATTTGGGCATCATCCAAATTTTCAAATTTTTTGCCACTTAGAAAATGTTGCAGCGATCGGAATAAATGGAAAACCGATGGCGCAATATCGGGCGAGTATGGTGGATGAAGCAATACCTCCCAACCCAATTCATTAATTTTTTCCAGGGTTCGTCTTGCGCAGTGCGGTCTTGCATTATCGTGTTGCAGAATAACGCCTTTTCTGTTGACAATCACTGGGTACTTTTCAATTAAAGATTAATTTACTCGATCCAATTGTTCATAGTAAAGGTCTGCATTTACAGTTTGTCCATGTTTCAGCACTTCAAAATGAACGACCCCGCGAATACTCCACCAAACACACAAAAGCGCCTTTTTGGTGTGTAAACCTGGCTTAGCTGTACTTTGTGGCGATTCATTCGGAGAGAGCCACTGCCTTTTGCGTTTTGGATTATCATAGAGGACCCATTTTTCATCTCCAATGATCAAGCGATCAAAAAACGCTTCTGTATTGTGCCGCTGAAGCAATAAGTTGCATATGGTGGATCGGTTAGCTTTGTTTTTTTCGGACAGATTATGCAGGATCCAAACACCTGCTCTGCTTACTTTACCAATCTGCTGCAAATGTTCTTGGATGGCCGACTAAAGTTGGTTAAAAGTGTTTGACAGTTCCTCGATTGTCTGACACGGATTTGCTTCCACTTCCGCCCTTAACATGTCATTGTCTAAAGTTGTTGCTCTTCCTGATCGGTACGAGTCAGAAAGATCAAAATTACCGGATGTGAACTTAGAAAATCACCTTTGGCATTTACGAACGTCTAATGCACTTAGATAAACATCGCAAATGTTTTTGGTAGCAACTGTTGCGTTACTACCCTTGCGAAACTCAAAAAGCATACAATACCGGATATGTACCTCTTCTGGTATTTGGTTGGCCATTTCACCATAAATTGCAAAAAAAAATTTAAGATTTAATTATTGACAAGTAAACAAGTCACTCTAACTTAAAATGTCTTTGGCACGACTTTGAAGTACACAATGAGCTGATAAATGACAAACGAATTTCGACATGCGCAGAAACGACATTACTTTCCGGTCCCCCTAATATATATATATATGGGTCATTCCATGTGAAAGGGGTACGCTCAAAAATTAGATTTGATCGAAACCTATGGCAATCGGTAGTACTATTTTAGAAAACATTTGTCGAATTTTTTAGGATTTTTTGACCCACACCATGAGCTTCTATGGCTGTCATAAAATTCGAATTTTTGCTTCGACTACCAGTTTCTTAATTCTTGTCGTCGTCGTCGTGCCAATAAAAAAAATCTGAAAACATTGTAACTTTATAGCATTTTTCCCGTAGAATCTGAACAAAATATTTATAAAATTTTAGGGGGTAGTTTTCACCCTTATTTTGAGATTTTAAAGTTTAAAATCGAAATTTCGCAAAGTACACCACCTTCGATTTTTTTTTGTTTTTTTTATTTTATTCCTTTTTAAATTTGCTTTCGATTAAGTCATGTCTCATGATGGTAATCGATCTGGAACAGGCCCAACATAAGGCCCAAAGGCAAAAATCCACTTTTTTACCGTTATATCTCAACCTTCAAGACGGTTGGGCCTGTTCCAGGTAATAATAATAGGTATAAAAATATTATATAATATTCTTTAATGTTATAAAAACGCTATTTTATTGCCTTTTTTCGATGGAACAAGATATTTAAAGATTCGTAAAGAATAATTATTAAAAAAGATTGAAAATATATTAAACAACATTCATTTTATAAAAATGTAAAGTAAGGCTAAATTGAGGTCGCACCTAGTTAGGTACATATCGATTATCGATTAGTAAAAAAAATCCACTGCGACATGAACTTCATTTTCCCACTTTTGGGATATGAAATGACCCGAGGTGACTATTCCCGGGTTAGATGAAAGTGTAATATCTAGTGTGTATATAAACACACGTACACACGTGTGCACAAGTATAAGGCGTATATCGTTCGGAACGTTTGAGAATCAGTATATGAAGAAAATATATATTTGCAGATTGGCTCGTTCTTCATGATCAACCTCTGCTTGGTCGTGATCGCGACACAGTTTTCGGAAACGAAGAAGAGGGAGATGGAAAGGATGCGGCAGGAGCGCGCGCGTTATCATTCGACCTCGACGTTGGCGTCATCGACAAACACCTCAGAGCCCACCACTTGTTACGCCGAAATCGTCAAGTGGGTACTCCTCGTCCTCGTTGTCATTGTTGTTGTAGTCATCCTCACGATTCGTGGATGACGCCATTCGTACGCTCGTCGAACACTCGTCGTCGGTCTTTCGGTGCTCGTCTTCATCTACGAAAGATCCGGCTATGTATTAATATCATTCGACGATTCAACATTTCTTTTTTCAGATACATCGCTCACCTCTGGCGACGAAGTAAACGAAGACTGATGAAAAGATATCGTCTGTACCTGTACAAGAGGCAGCAGAGACGGGAGCAAAATTTGCTGAAAGAACAAAGTCAAACGTTCCGCTCGAATGTCGCGAGAGGATCGAATCGAGCGGCAGGTGGTAAGTATCTATTTTGTTTCACATCGAAATGCTGAAATTCCAGATGGGGACGAAACCAAGATAAAAAACAAAAAAGAAAACGATAAATCGGACAGACTCGATAGAGTTGTCGATTCCTCTCATGTCGAGGATTCCTTCGTCTTTCTTTTTCGTTACGAGTCGTGCAACGTTCGTTGATACTAAATGAATAATTTGCTGATATCGAAATGGCAGAAGAATTATATCAAAACGAAATTCGAAATATCCTCGTTCAGTACAAAACTGCTTTCTTATCTTTAACTCGAGAATAGTTACTTTATTTTTTTTTTACATAAACAATCATCTAGGATCATTTGGATCTCAATTAAAAACCGCTATTATTAAACAAATATAGCATATTATCGATTACTCTATGACTTATTATTATTTAGAGACACTATAAATATAAATTTACTCGTTATTTTTTGAAAAAAGTGAGGTGAAACAAAAAAAATATTTAAGGATCGGAATAAACACATCAAGTGTCTTATTATGACAGTATTCCTAATAAATGAAGATATTAATTTGAAATATACTGTTTTATTGCCTTTTCTCGATGCAATAGATATTTGAAGGTTCGTAAAGAATAATTATTAAAAAGGATTGAAAATATATTAAATAACATTCATTTTGAAGAATGTAAAGTAAAGCTAAATCGCGGTCATACAAAATTACTAGTATTGATTCAGAATTTGTAAAAAATTACTTATTTTTATATTTCTTCATCGTGTTATATAAATATATAACATAACAAATATTTTTAAACGAAATAATTATAAATTTTTAAGAATATAGATATTTTTATGCTTAATATTAAATAAAAAATGTAATTTAAGATATTATTATTCATATATTATTATTCATTTATAATAAATGTTAATGTTAACTATATATGTTAATTATAAACGATAAATATAAATATTAGATATTTAATAATTGCACCATGCCTATTTCACTAGACATTTTTATCGGTTAGTATCAGATGTAATGTAAATATTGCTTAATATTTACCGGATATGAGTATACATAACCTTATTTAAACTTAGTACCGTCTTGTCTTTAAAATACGAACTCTTATTATATTTGACTAATTTTATAACGTAAACGATCACCCGAAACAACCCCCTGGGGGGTCGTTTTGTACCACAACGTGTTTTTACAAGCTTATACTACGAATAAGACGGCCTATTCTCGTTGCACAGATTAGGTTTCTAAATGTCCAAATGAAAGGTACATACATATTGGTTACTGAAAAAAACGGTAAAAAAATCCCAGGTGACTATTCCCGGGTTAATATAACGTGCCGTGTCCGAGCTATACCGAGTTCGTTTTTAAAACCTTTCGCACGAATAGATTCGAATTGTCGAAATCGATACGTATAGATGGGAAACTACATCACGGAAGGTGTCCGCGACTCCTCGCCGCGTTGGAATATGCAGGGCAGCAACAGCAACAGCAGCAATTGCAGGTTGCCACTAATGGTAATGGGGGATCGATGGGCGTCGATTCTCCTACGATTGCGTCTCCGTTACAAGCGGTCACCACGACCGCTCCTACGAGTATCGGCAACAGCAGCAACTTGGGCATCGCGCCCCGTGCCAGTCCTGAGATTTCCGAGGCCGAAACATCAGCGAACGTGTGCCACAGATTGAGCGTGCATCGCGCTTCCTCAGTTTCTTGCAACGGCAACGATGTCATGGGAAATCCAGCCGAGGCAAGTTCACCGCCAAACGGTAAATTAGGAATGCGATGCATCAGACATTTTATCAACTTCGAAGTGCTCTTATGTACAGAGTTAATGACGTTACATTTCGTACTTTCTATTTGGTGACACAAGCATCATCCTATCTTTGTTATTCATCGAATGCGAAATAAAGACAGAATGATGTTCGTGTCGACTTGTATTACCAAATGGAAAGCACCAATTATTACGCAATTACACAGCTAGAATACTTTGAAGTGTCTGATGGATTCCTACTTGAGGGATGTGCATGTGAACGAAATTTTCTTAATATTCGGGTCGAATGGGGTGATTGAAGTGTCACGGTTGAGAGAAATGTATGGAATAATTCGCGATATTCATAGTTGAATGTCTTTTCTCTCGATTCACATAAAGAGTAACTTTCGTTTTTGTACTTTACTCTGGGCACAATCGAGATCAGTACTAAACGAGAGTTTTTGAAATGAACAAGGAATTGTATAAAAAAAAAACCCAAACGCAAAAATATATGTTAAAATTGATATAATGTCAGTTTTAAATTTGAATTATTGGCTAGCGTTATATCCACCGCTTGTTAATAGGAAAGTTGTTATAAAAATATGTGGTTGTTTGTTTATGTCGATTTTAAGTGTTTTATAAGATATTTTTACAAATATTTTTTCTTATATTAATATAATATTATTACTCTACTCTCTACTCTACTCTACTCTACTCTCATGCTTTTTTATTTAAACATTTTTTAAACACTTTTCTAATAAATATATAAAAACAATAACTAGCGGTTTAAACTTTTTAAAAATTATTCAAAGTCGTTATTTACAAAAAAGAAAAAAATTTAGTTTTTCTTTTCAACAATTTTTTCAATTTTATGACGAATCTTTCATACATACTCAATATGAAATCTATCGGGTAATTGTTCGAAACCGTAATATTGATTTTTTATCATTGGAGGCGAAAATCACTTCACTCGGAAGTGCGCATTTCTCCGGAGACTTCAGTTACATCACTCGAGCTTTCACTTCCTAAGAGCGTTGGGCACGACTTTGATCTTCTTGTAGACAGTTTTGAGCAAATAATAACGTCTCAATTAGATGAACTTACTTAGCGTTCTTCTTACTCACTTCGCTTAATATTTATCCTATGCTTTTACATAGTAATATTTATATCTAATAGCCATTATACATGCTTTGCATATATATATATATATATATATAGAAGAGCATTAGAGTTGCACTTCATCGCATCAGTTTTTCTGTCATCAACCTCTGTCATTGACAATAAAGAATATGCGTAAAGAGAACAGGCGCTTGTCGAGCTTAAAAGGTACGATGAAATCATGCGTAAATTTTCGCTTTAATTTGCCTCGATGCCGCAACGTTTCCGAACCGAAAACGGAGAGAGAAAAAAAGAGAGCGAAAGAGAGAGAGAGAGAGAGTGAGAGGGAGGGGGAGGGAGGGAAGAGGAAGAGAGAGAGCGCCGGTTCTTCATAACACACATAATGTATGCTTGATTGTCGGCTTCTAGACGAACAGCACGTTGTTGAGTCCGCCATGTACGCATTATCGGAGAAGAAGCAGCGTAATGTTTAGCGACGTGGTACTGCTCCATGGCAGCAATAATGTCGGGAATGCGTTGCCGTTGCAGCCGGGGACGACGGTGACGCCGGGCGAACGTAATGTCTGTTCGAGCGAGAAGATGACGCAGACGGGCGATGGTAACGTTTGGTCCAGTCCGTTGTCGGACCACGTACAGGTAATCTCCATTGCTGTACGGTGAGAGAAAAGGATCTCTTCAAATTTAAGGAAAAAAAATTCGCCAGCGCCATTTTCTCCCACTCGGAGGAATATCGCAACACATTCTCTACATCTTTTTTTTTTTATTGAAGTCTCGCTCAAAATGAGTGAAAATTCTGCATAATTTACAGTTACTTGATTATGGTACTATATATGGAAGTTCCTGAAAATCGCAAGAGATCCTCCATTCTTATCCAATTCTGTGTGTGCTCGCAGATGCAAGCTGAGCTGGGTGGCAATGAGGCTATGACATGTCAGGAATTGCTGGCTCTCAGCGGTGCCCTCAGTGCTGCCCTACCGACAGGCCAGTTAGCGCTCGACTCGTTCTTGAACTCGCTTACGAAAGGTAAGTCCGGTACTTGACATATGACTCGAGAACCGCGATTTGTAAAATCAAGGTTTACAATCTTGAAATCGCTTGAAAAGTTTGGTTGGCATAATCAGCTCGGAATCCATACAGAAAGAGAAATGAATGAGAAAATAGATGGATAAATGAATGAGATATTAATTTTGCTATATTACATTGTAATATTGAACGAACGAACGAACAGACGGACGGACGGACGAAGAAAGATAGAGGGAAGGAGGAGGAGGGGATTTAAAGATGAAATAAATAAATACGAAGGAACAAGAATGCGTTTGATAGGTATCACAGATCGTCGCATAACGTTAGAGGATCGCACTCAGTGGCTCGCATCCGACCTTGACAATTGTTCCTGTTGCTGTGAGCAACAAAGCGGCGATCAGTGGCCGGAGGACACGGAGAAATGGAGGAAGTTGTCGCGCACGCGGAGATTCCTGCGGGCCATCGGCAATTTCTGCGTCTGCACGTTGCGTTGCGTGAGACGGTGGATCAAGAAGCTCGTGGAACACAAATATTTTCAGCAGGGTATCCTCCTGGCGATTCTCATCAACACTTTGAGCATGGGAATCGAGTATCATAATCAGGTGATTCTCCGCTGGTTTGTGACCGAGAATCACATTACTCGCAGATTTTATAGTGTAACATCCCACATGGCACGTAATATCACAGCAATATTATATATTACTGTATAATATTATGGTAATATTACTAATACTTTACGTATGTATATATATATGTAACACAATAATATTGCTGCAATATAATATATTACATCCCAAGTAACAAGATGATATCACGTGACGTTTCAGTTGTCTTATGGACGTTAGAGACGTCATTAAGACGTAGCGATATTTTTGCTATATTACATTGTAATATTGCAACGGAAATACGATATTGCTGTAATATTGCCGTGCTATGTGGAATAATCAATAAGTGTCACTTCGCTGATTAGAAATTATCAAATTTTTCCTAATTTTGCCTTTTCTATTTAAATGTTAAGTTAAATAAAAGGGCAAAAGAGATATTGAAAAGATAAACAAATATCGCCGCTACGCGATACTATCGCTGAGGACTAACTTCTTCGGTCGGATCCAAATTTAACGACACGCCGCTTCGCAAAAATAAAAGTCAAAACATAATCGTTCTGTTATTTTGTTGCGTATGTAGCCGGAACAACTGACGGTCGCTGTCGAAATAAGCAACATCGTATTCTCAGCGATCTTTGCAGTAGAGATGTTGCTAAAGATAATAGCAGAAGGCCCGTTTGGTTACATCAGCAACGGCTTCAACGTCTTCGACGGTGTCGTCGTTGTTTTAAGGTAGAATAACTCTCTTCCGTTTATTGATAACCGGTTATTGACACTTATCATCATTACCACTTCTATGTATATACAGGGTCTGCCAAATGTTCCGGAACGGCTAATTATTTTTAAAAAACAATGATTTAAAAAAAATGTTTGGAACAAAAGTTGAAGGGTTTCAAAAAAGCTGTCAGACATTGAACATTGTTTGGCCTTAAAATGATTTTGAAAAGTGTTGTTAAGGTCAACATAAATGGAACTTCCTATTTTCGACACATATTCTTATAGCTGACGTTGAGAACTTTCCGAAACACTGGTTACACACTTTTTTTCCATAAGAACTTTCCGAGTTATGGGGCTTAAAAATTACAATACCGCTGGTATTAGCATTACCATTAGCATATATTTCGTATATATATATATATTTTTTTTTTTTATTTATACATATATTTTTCCATATTATTATTATTTTTTTCTAATACTCTAAGAACATTTTTATAATGTGCCAAGAATATTATATAAAGTGGACATATAATATCAATGGAACATTCCTATAATATTAAAAAATATTACATAACCTTCTTAGAATATATAAGAATATTATTTTAATATTGAATAAAATTCATATAATATTCTAGGAATATTACGCACTTATAGAATAGTAGCATTCTCGTAAAATTATCTCACAAGCCGATACAATGAAAATGCATTCGTGTCGGCGCGTATTTTCAGTGTCGTTGAGCTCTGCCAGGCATTCGTGGAGGAGCGTGGCGGCAGTTCCGGCTTGAGCGTCTTGCGCACCTTCCGCCTACTTAGGATCCTGAAGCTAGTGCGATTCCTGCCGAATCTACGGCGACAGCTGTTCGTGATGCTACGCACCATGGATAACGTTGCCGTATTCTTTTCTCTTTTAGTACTTTTCATCTTTATATTCAGGTAAGTCACCTAACCGTCTTTCACGTCGTCGATCGGGATTTTTTCGGGCCGTCGTACTGTCGCCGAGTCTTCTTTCCGTTTTCTTTTTCCCTTACGTTTTCCTTCACTCTTATTTTACTTTCTTTGCGGTCCATTCTCTTCATGAGCCGCGCCAGGTATCATCGTTGGGTCGACGGGGCACGTCCGGTTAGTTCTCGTCCGCCGAAGTACGTGAAAGGAATCTTGAGTTAACGCGCGTATCGCGTTAAAAAAGAGAGAAAAAACACGGATTATTGGGCGCTGCCGCGTCTTCCTGTTCTGATTATCATCTTCATCAGCCTAGTAACGTTTGCATGTCTGGTGAACTGAAGTTACGAAACTGCCGATAGGTGTTATCCAACGTGGAAAAGCGCTTTGAAATATGAAGCGTCGATAACAACGACTGCCGTTGAATCCTGCGTCAGGATATCGTAATATATTATTCACTGAACAGTTATGTGAAAATGCATGGTGATCTTTATCATATCGCGATAATAGTGTATTTTTATATTATCGCTGATGTAATAGTACGGAATCTAATTTAATAATGACGTATTATCACTACCATCAGTTTTATCTACATAAAAATACAATAGGGGGAGGGGGGAAATTTCATAAAATTTTTACTATATTTCATAACAATTTTCTCAGAATCGATAGATCCCACATATTAAGAAAGGATAAGGATACGATAGTCGAAAAATATTTTACATGAAATTATACATATATATATATATAATATATAATATACAGGGGGAGGAGGTTGTACAAATTTAAGTTTATATATATAATTATATAAATACAAAATTAAATGCATATATATACAATATATATATAAGGTATACCATTTAAGTTGACACAACAAAATATCTCGAAGACGACGAATCAAAAAAAATCTGAAACATATATTCCATGATTTTAAGGGATAATCAAAATGGCATTATTATTTTTCTAATGTGTGGACGTTTTCAAAGTCATTTCAAAATCAACTTTGTTTTTTTAAATAGGAATCTATATTTATTATTACGGAATTTTATTCTACATAAAAAAAACTTTTGTAAAAAAATTTACCAATATATGGAAATGCAGTACTAAAAAATTGGTAAAAAATTCTGAAAGATTTCTCAGAGCTTTATGAGAAGAAAGTAAACAATTTTTGTCTCGCTATTTTTCTATAAAATGGATATAATTTGAGTAAAAAATTATTGAAAAACAAATAATTTGTAATTATTTTCCTAATTTTGTAAAAAATAGAGGTTGTACAAATATATTTTTTTACACAAAAGTTTTTTTTTACGTAGAATAAAATTCTGTAATAAGAAATATAGGTTTTCATTTAAAAAACAAAGTTGATCTTGAAAACGCCTACACATTAAAAAACTAATAATGCCATTTTGATCGTCCCCTAAAATCATGGAACACATNTATATATATATATATATATATATATATATATATATATATATATATATATATATATATATATATATATATATATATATATATATATATATATATATATATATATATATATATATATATATATATATATATATATATATATATATATATATATATATATATATATATATATATATATATATATATATATATATATATATATATGTTAGTATTTTAATTTAGTAATATAATTCTTCTGATTGTGTAAGCTTCACATTTATGATTATACAATATATTTGATCGCGTGATAATAATAACGCGACGTCGACGCTCGATATTTCGAAAGCAGCCTTTTGTTCGCTTCTTCGAGTTTTCGCAGGAGCAAATCGCCGCTGCTCTACGAGCCAAGGCCTACCATTAGGTGACTGTTCATACTTTTTCTCCTCTACTTTATTCGCTTTTACTTTGTTTCCGCGCGGTATGTAAACCGCCACCAGTTTTAAATGCATATACCACATATATATATATATAGATTTCTCGAGTTTATATATACAGCAATTGTCCTATGTTCTCGTGTCTTCTAGCGTTTTCCTTGAGCGGCATACCTTTTGACGTTGTTAATTGTAATGACGATGGTATTTGTTAGCACGTCTATATTACGAAGGGGCCTGTTTTGTCGTCCCTTCCTTCTATGGCTTGAGGCATCAAAATGTACTATCAACATATTTTACCTAGGCATATATCTATATATAAATAAATAAATAAATAAATATATATATATATATATATATATATATATTTCACCTTTCGATCAATGTATTTTCACCTCTTTGTGTTTTAGTCACGATAAATAATTCACCGATAATTGACAAACGCCCACTTTCTTTTACAGGGTGCTCAGATTATTAGTACTCNCTCTCTCTTGCTACTCTAAACATCTATATTAAATGCGTGCGCCTCGATGTGGCAATCGATATTAGAGTAGCTTGCGAATGTTGAGCATATACTACTGCAAAATTATATACATGCATACATGTGCGCGCGCGCGCACATTTAGTTTTGCTGCGTCGGACTTCGTGCTATATATATACAGGGTGTCCTATTTTAAATGACGCCCTCAAATATCTCTTGAACAATGCATTTCGAAGAAAAATGTTTCATGTAAAAGTTGTACGGTTTGGAAGAGGACATAAGGTGATATTATTGGTTTGACCTTTGATAGTCTTCTGAAGGTACAATTCCGAAAGAAAGTACATTGCATGGCAAAGGCGAACTTTCGGAATTGAATATGAAGTTTGACGAAACTATATAAATGCTCCCCATGCTCTAAGTCTTTGAACGCCTACTTCCTGTAACCCCTCCGACAGCCATCTTCAATATCCTATAAGCGTCCTATAAGTAATATTATTTAATATCAAGTAATATTTCTGGAATATTAATAGATGATTACATGTTTACTCTTAATATTTCCAAAATAATATTATTTAATGTTATTGTAAAATGATATATTTTTTAAAATATTCAACTCTATGTATATATATAATATATATAATTGTAGTTTATTTTAAATGTATTCCAATTGTTTTATTATATCAATTTATATATATATATATATATATTACGCGCTTATAGGTGTTACTTAGCCGAGTTTTGTAAACCGTGACTTTTTTCAATCGAGCATTCTTTCTCTTTCTCATTCTTTCCTTCTTTTTCCTTTCCTCCTCTTTCCTGGTTTCCTTCTCTCTTTCTTCTTTCCTCTCTTATTTTATTTTGGTCTACGTACATATATATATATATACATATATATATATCTAGATAAGGAAGTACATTGCACGTTTCGTTGTGTTGTAGTATTCTCGGGATGAACCTGTTTGGTTGCAAATTCTGTGAAACGATGAAAGGCACCTCTGACGTCGAGTGTGATAGGAAAAACTTTGACTCGTTACTCTGGGCTATTGTGACGGTGTTTCAGGTACAAAAAACACGGATATACTTTTCCACATATCTTTTTGAGGGCATTTTTGACTTCTCTCTACATATATATAGTGTATATTACCTATTATATATTCGTGCATATATATATATATATATATTAACGTTATACCACACTGCATCTACATATATGCATATACGCTAAGTACTTTATATATGTACGTGCGTACTGTCACACTTGGTTTTCCGTCTGAACTCGTGCGGTCACGAGCAGCCACCTACTTTATATGATTTCGTGAGGCCTCAGGTAACGTATATACGCTGGGAGATAAACGCTTTTTTAGCATGTCGACTTGTATCTTTGTTGGGTGGAGGGAGGAGGCAGGAGATGGCTACCGGTATCAGCTTTGAAAGGGTGACAGTGGCCAAAGATATTTCTTTCTAATTCAATTTTTTCAACATTTTTTATAACTCAAACATTTAAAATATAATATTCAATTCAATTAAAGCAGTTGAAAACATTTTTAATCTTAGATTTTCCGTAAGAGAAGCGGAGATTTGGTGATTTAATCTTTCTCGATTTCTTGTAATGAAATTATACGCGTTACCAGGGATAAATTAGGAAGGGTTGGAAAAATGGGGAGAGGAAGCGATAAGAAGAGAAGGCCTGTCCGAAAACCTTGATTTGAAGTCGGTACCGGAGGCCACAGGGACGGGACACCGTAGATCCAGCGCGGATCATTGAACGTAGGAGTACGATTGCCGGCAATAATCCTGGTGTTCCTCCATTATTGTCCGTTTGTAGCCCGCCGCTTTTTATATCTTAATGCGTGCTGTGAACACATTGACTCCTGGTGTGTGTGTGTGTGTGTGTATGTGTATGTATGTGTCGTCTGTAAACATGTCGAGCTGTCTCCCGTCTCGCATGCTTTCGCCGCTGTTGTTCTCTCTCTCTCTCTCTCTCTCTTTGTTTCTCATAAGTGGTTAAGAGGTGAGTATAGACATAATATATCTAGACCGAGCGTTTGTCTTTATTCCAGGAGTGGGTCTCGAGATGCATACAAAAAAGGATATATTCTGTTTTGTGTCCCTTGCATTCTCTTTCACTCACGTGGTTTATGCGCGAACGACAGCGAATGTCAGGGATATATTAGGTGTACGAATTAATTCTCGGCCTTGATATTAAATCAGTTGTAACACTTATTCAAGTGGAAAGTTTTCGCCGCCAACTTTAGGACTGTATAGTACCAAAACAAACCATAAAATCGGAATATATAGCTAACACAACTTCAAACAATTCACCGTAAGCACAGTAAACACGATGGCGTCTGACAAGCAACACATTAGGCACTGTTTGCTCTTCGCATTTCAGTTAAAGAAAATAAACACATTCGGGGTAAAGAAAATGATTTGTGAGGCATTAAGGGAAAGTGCTATGTCCTTTAGCAGGTGTAAAAAGTGACTTTTATGGGCGACGGGCCTGGAGCGGTCATTCCACTACACGATAACACCACGGCGAAAGCAACCAAGGACACGCTTGATTCGTTGACCGGGAAATTTCGCCACACCCGGCGTATTCACTCAGATCCAGCCCCGTCAGATTTTCACCTGTTCCGGCCCCTCTGACATTATTTAACAGATTCCCACTTCAGAACGTTCAAAGAAGTCGAAAAATGCATCACCAACTTTTGACCTCCAAAGCGGCGTCTTTTTACCAAGAGAGGATTTATCACCTATCCGAAAGATGGCAAAAATGTGTAGACATCGTTGGAGATGATTTTATTCATTGAAGTGTATTCTGAGTTTGTACAAATAAACGTTAATTTTCATTTAAAAAGGCCGAGAATTGTTTTGTACACCTAATACAATATAGAGTGCATCATTTTCTATACTGTACTCTGACCACTACTCCTCAATACTTGGTGTAGATATATCACGTTTGTGGGGGCGAGCGAACAACTCGCACGGACAACTCGCCGCTTCACATACTTATACGCACCCTCGCCACGCACAAAGCGACGCCTCGATCTCACATATACTTCGTATATTTTTTAACAGTGCAGCACACGAAACTGTTTTGTGTCACACGCGCTTGTCTCTCTCTCTCTCTCTCTCTCTCTCTCTCTCTCTCTCTCTCTCTTTCTCTCTATATATATATATTTTCTTTTCTGTTTTTCTAACTTTTTATCATTTTTTTTTTTAAACGCCCACGACGACTCGAGAGCAAAGAAAAAAATGAAAACGAAAATTAGATCTGAATTATACAATACATGTTACGAAATACCGAAATACTCGATAATACCTAACAGGGAAATCGCACTAACAATTTGAGGATTCAACACTCGGGGATTTGGGAAAAGAGAAGAACTTTGGTGGTTATCGCACACGAACAACACGAACAGAGAGCGCGTTTGATTTACAACGATACAAAGATCAAGGAGACTCCGCGGTTTCGCTGTTTTACGCATACGCAGTCCCAAGAGAATTCGAGCAACCGAATAATTTCTATATATCTTGCTTTTGTTTCAGTTTGTTTTATCGTTACGTTATTCCGCGCATTAAAACACACCTTACTTAAACAGATTATCGTACTTACGGACACTCGCTTCGCGAATGGCACAATTTTTTTGCCGAGATATATTACATATATCACACGAGAGAACTCAATTTTTCACAAGCTGGGCCATGTATGGCCCGTCGGTTCGATAACGTGTGTTTCCGTTAATGCTCATTTGAATTAATTCCCCTAAGGATGAAATATACAATAGTCACAGTCCATTACCATCATACTTTATGATAATCCAACGCTATCCACTATTGACATGAGTTGAGTCGAGTTGAATCAGTTGGCGGTAATATCGAAGATACTATATAAGATAATCATTTCGCGAAATTTTACAAATTATGAGAGGCAAAATGTTTGTTAATTTATGTTAAGGTTAATTTATGTTATATTTACTTAAAATTACAATTATGTAAAATCATTAGGCAGTTTTAAAACGTTTTAATCTAAATTAAAAAGATTTAATTATTCTAACCTATTTGCGATTATTCTAAATTCTATTTACATTATTTTCATGTAATTGACAAAATGTTTTCTAGATTATTCTTTTGATTTAGGGTGACGCGTTTCAAAACTGCTTGGTAATTTTACATCATTGTAACTATAAGCAAATATAATCTTGATATAAATTAATAAAGCATATTGCCTCGTAATTTGTAAAATTTTGTGAAATTGCTTACCTCATATAGTATCTTCGATGTTACTGCCACTAACTCAACTCATGGCAATAGTAGACAGCATTAAGTTATCATAAAATATGATGGTAATAGACGATTGTGACTATCGTATATTTCATTCTTATGGAAATTAAGTCAAACAGACATTAATGGAAACACCCATATCCTAGTAATCGGGATAATCGTGTTAGCCCGATGGTTAAAAGCAGTATATTTTAGTCGCAGTAGAGAGATCCGGTCTTCATCCTAATGTTAGGAGTATAAAGATAAAGGTAGATCACGCTAGTTACGTAAATCAATATCAGCGTATCACTGACATCAGCAATTCCTCGGTAGATTTTGTGCTCCTCGCGAGTACTCTCACTGAGAGAGACTCGTCATATCCCTATAAGTGCGTAATATTCCTAGAATATTATATGAATATTATTCAATATTAAAATAATATTCTAAGAATGTTATGTAATATTTTTTAATATTATAGACATTTTCTATTAATATTATACGTCCACTTCACATAATATTTTTGACATATTATAAAAATGTTCTTAGAGTATTAAAAAAATAATAAAATAATATGAATATAGAAAAAAATATATAAATAAAACACACACACACACACACACACACACACACACACACACACACACACACACACATGTATATGTATATAGAGTATATTTTTATATTTTTTATATTTTTTTTTAGTTTAAAACGCATTTCTATACAAAATTATTTTTTAATATTATTAGAAGTGGACATATAACCATCTATCAATATTCCATAAATATTACTTAATATTAAATAATATTACTAGAATCTAATTAGAATATTACGTCCAATATTCTAAGAATATGCTCGGAATATTACTCAATTTTAAATAATATTACGCGCTTACAGGGATATATTTCTATACATATGTATACCGTACCTTGCGAATTAGATGATTATATTTACGCTTCGCAATCGCTTCCCTTTTCTCCCCTCCTTCCTCACCCTCTCTCCTTTCCCGCCCCCTCTCCCCCGAAAACGTTCGCCGTGATATTCTGCAATGGCAGGTGTCTTTTTTCTCGCGCTCTCCTTCCTTCTCTCCGTAATCATTGCACATTCCCCCAGGAGCTTTTTTTACGCAGTTTATTTTTCACGCGGCCGGTCTGCCATCTCATGCGTGCGCGTTTAACATTGACCGCTTATCTTTAATGCACATAATGAAATTCGTAAGAAAAATCAGCCGACGTGAATTTAACCGATAGGCTCTAAGCGGTGATTCTCTCACAAATAAACGTTTGTTATGATTTCTGCGGACCACGTCGCCACATCTTGTTAGAGACTTTTATTACTGCTCACACGCATGTCTTAAAACTAATGTATGTTGACTGACGAAATAGCCTCAGCACTTAATGTAATTAAGTTATTAGCAAGTTGTAAAGACATAGTTAGGAAGTAATGTGTTACTTGTAACGCCATTACGGTAATATATCACAGCAATATCATATTTACATTGCAATATAATATAGCAAAAATATTGCTACAATATCACGGAGATATTACAGTAATATTGAAATGTCCGTCAAAAATACTAACAGCCGAATCATATTATGTGTTAAGGCTATTTTGCTGGTTAGCGTACAGTTCTTGTCCGACGATTTAAGGAAAAATTGTTGTTACATGAAAGACACGTGAAATATTCGATTTGGTACATCTATTCGTATAAGTACTCATACAGAAAATTTTGGGAAGAATCACGGGTATGTTAAATAAAAGTATTTTTTTACCAAAGTACTCATCGAGAGGAGAAAGAAA